AGTAGTAGTAGTAGTAATGGTAGGAGGAGGAGCAGCAGCAGCAGCAGCAGCAATGATGACCAAATTGCTTGTGATAGTTGTGAGATGTATTTGCTGCTGATGGAGTCGTTGTGGTAGTTGCAGTGGCTGTAGTAAGTCTTCTAGTTGTAGTCGCTGCAGTTGGTGTAGTTGTAGTAGTTCTCGTCGTCGTCGTAGTAGTAGAAGTACGACGAGGAGGAGTACTAGGAGTAGTCGCAGTCGTCGTCGTAACGGTACGTAGCTGGAGCAGCAGGAAGAAGAAGTAGTGGTGGTGCTGGTGGTGGTAGTAGCAGTAGTAGCAGTAGCAGTAGCAGTAGCAGTAGCAGTAGCAGTAGCAGTAGTAGTAGTAGTAGTAGTAGTAGTAGTGCTGGTATTAGTGCCAGTCGTAGTAGAAGTAGAAGTAGTAGTAGTAGTAGTAGTAGTAGCAGCAGCAGCAGCAGCAGCAGCAGCAGCAGCAGCAGCAGGCATTGCCATCAATTCTTACAGAGGTCTGACTCCAAGCACGACTTCTACTCCAGTGTCTCGGCTCTGCACATTTTGTTGGGATCTTCAATTACTCGAGGAGGGGGGTGAGTGGCGGGGCTTTACGGTTGTTGTTATTGCAGGTGCAGACTTGCTCAAACAAACGGCAGTGCAGTCAACTCAGGTGGCAGCCAAGTGTAGTTGCTGGTATCTAGCGCGTGCAGGTCGCGGAAGCACGAGTCCTTGCCCTTGCCACCGAAGTAGACCTCCAAGCTCGGCTAAGCTTTCAAGAATTGTGGAATATCTGCTTGATCCCGTAAGGCTGCCGAGGCAGCTCCCGATCCCGAAAGACCCCTAAAGCAATGCTATATTCCTCCTGCATGAATTCTTCAAAGCTCCCAGGTTCCCCCAAAACTCCAGCTAACTGGGGCCAGCACCACTCGGCTTCCGACCAAGGCCGCCGAGTGACTGTAGCGCCTTGTTTTAGATGCTTTATTCTCCAAGTTTGTGCTTGTCTAGTCTATTCAATGTTTCTGAAATTTTGCAGATACCAGCACTGCAATCAGATCCGTGGACGCTGGAACCCCTCCGGAAGGCACAGCTTCGACAGGCTGGTGGCTGTTGATGTTCCAGCAAGCTCGAAGGATGCGTAGAAAGCCCTGTGGAGCCATGCTCCACGCCGATTCTCTGCGAAACAGAAGATGAGTTGGGTCTGCAGAAGCCCTCCTTGATGGACCGGCGGTTAAGTATGTCTGGCCCACATGCGCTGAGCTTCTTGATCACTTTTCCCGAAAGGAATGTAGGCCCAATCTAGGCCGAAATACCGCACAGACGGGAGTTTAAAGATGCATTTCTGACCACCTCGTACTGCCACCATCAAGCCATCGATCAAGCAGTAAATCAACTGCGACATTCGACAATCTCATGCGTGCCGTTTTTTACAACGTCGACCAATGGGGTCGCAACAAGTTGCAGTTCGGATTGAATACTTGCCTTTCTCTGGCTTCCTTCCAGATGCGTCTCTGCAGAAGTTGCGCTTGTTGAGCCGACAGCACACGATCCGGCAGAGGTCCGAAGCTCCCAGCTGCAAGGCCTCTCTTTCTGCTCA